TTCTACTCTCGGTTCAGGTCTACCACACAACTTCGCCTTCCTCGAACATCTACTGTGCTCTCAAAACCACTAAGTTTTTTAAAAAGTTGTGACTTGGCTCCTGACTGAAGTTTACTTGCCCAGTCTTCTCAGGGTCTACCTCTAAGTGCTTTTCATGGCAGTGACTAGCAACCTTGATAAATTAATCTGTGCTGCAAACAAGTGAGCTAGAAGTGATTAAGGACCACCAAGATCACACTTGCCATTCAATACAGTTGGGTTAACTTACTGAGCAAAGGGACCACACACCAGAGGGATGATGGGGCACCTCACCAGACCAAGGAAGGCACAGACGTGCTGCAGTATTGGAAGAAAAGGTAGGGTTTTGGTAAAATTTCAACAAAGCAGTGCTGTGCTTGCTCAAAGCAAAGCAAGGACATGTAGGAAGGAGGAAGCATCAGGCCTGGGCTGAGTGAGATGAGAAAATTCAGGATCCTGTTTTCTGGGGAACTAGAAAGTTAAGATAAATGTGGAATGTTGTGTGCAAGATCCTTATCTGAAGATCTGCACTGAGATTGGAAATGGAAACTCTTTTCATGTTAAAATGACTTAGATCCTTCAGGCAAGAATGAGGTGTTCCATTCTCACTAAATGTCGTTTCAAACAGCCACGTTTCTGACAGTCGATGGTTTTAGAGAACAAATTTTCTCATGTTCTTTTGTTAATTAACCAAAGCATTTCCCCCCACAGTTTCACAGAAGAAATTCTTCCTGCTGAACTCATCTTACAGGGAGGGGCAAACATAGATGTACAGTTGTGAGTACATGGAACAAAAGAGTTTATTCCTGTATTATTAATTATTGTATTATTTTCCATATGAACGACTGAAAACCCACTTCTGCCCCACCCTGCAGATACACTTGATCAGGGTCTCTGTTGAAATAACAGCATGACTGCTTTTGTAGTCAAACATCAAGGAGTGAGGTAAAGTGGAAATGTCACATCAACTACAAGGAGAAGTTGGAGAAGGTCTTTTGGAGTTTAGGTATGTTATTGAGGTGATTATTTCTTGAGTTCCTACTCCATGCCTATCCTTGTAAAGGAGATAGAGTTTCTACCCTTGAGCATCCCACAATGTAGTGAAGGGAAAGATGGTGGAAGGAAACAAACCCAGAATTCCATAGTAAGAGCAATAGTGGATTTTGGCATGAATGTTTGTGAGAGTGAAGAGGAAGGAATTGTGAGCTCTGATCTGAGGCATTTGGTCCCCTCAAGGTAAGAATAATCAGTGGGAGTGTTACAGGGTGCAGCCAAGAGGGGGGACCCCAAATGGGCATTTGAAATGGGGTCCAGAACTTAAGGTGTCCAGGAGATTTTAAGATGTTTCACCTCCCCCCCAGGGTGTGGGTTGGGGGAAGGGACAAATGGAGCAGGGCCATTGAGAGCTGTTTTGCATAGCAACTGGCCTTGCAGCTAAGCTCTGGTGTGGTCATTTAACATATCTATAGCCTTTGGCTGGTCACTTAGATATGTTAAATAGCTGTGGCCATGCCCTGAGACAGGGGAATGGAAGTAACTTCCCCACCAAGACGTGACTGGGGGGGGGCAAGTCCCCCGAGTTACAGCACCTGCGTGGGAGCTTGGAGATGATTGGCTCCATGACATGGAGCCACACCTGCCCAGACTCATGATGGCAGCCCAGTAAAGCTGGAAGGATACGAGTTCTGGCATGTGAAGCCGAGTGTGGGAGGAGTCGGAAATGAGGCTGCAGAGGAAGATTGGTCGCAAGGATTTAAAACCCAGACTTGGAGGCCATTAGGAAGGAGAGAACCTTGCTGTTTTAGGAAGGTGAACCATGCACAGCCCTGAGAGAGGGAGAACCACATGGCCTGGACAGAGTGGGGACTCTCCCTTCCTGGAGCCCTGAGAGAGAGAAAACCACACAGCTTTAGCAGAGTGAAGACTCTCGCGACCCTGAGAGAGAGAACCACGCGGCTCTGGCAGAGTGGGGACTCCCGTGGCCCTGGGAGAGAGGACTACGAGCCTTTTCCAGAGTGGGGACCCCCACAGCTTTAGAAGGGGGAACCACCACCTGGTTTTAGCAGAGATCCCGGCAACTCAGCTGAGGGTGCCGGGGACCCAGGGAGGTCTTCCAGTGTAGATGGAGGACTAACTGGGAAGAACCAGAGGACTGACTGAGCCATGGACTTCTATTTCCTTTCCTGAGATACGGTACTCTGGACTGGGCAAAGGGGGAAGGAAGGAAGGACTGTGTGTTTGTGAGTGTTTTTAGGGACTTCGGGATTTTTGATAAAGACATTAGGTCACTACTTGAAGTTTGTATAGCATTAAATAAACATTTCCTTTCCTTTTCATGAATCTCTGGCATTGAGAGACTTCTTTCCTAGGGCGGCGGACATGACGGACCCAGGGCCTTCTTTCAATAATAGTATATTGTCCCAGGCCCCCTTGTTGTGTTCTGTAACAGGAGGGAGAACCTGAAGTTGTAAGTGAGAAGATTCCATTTTGAAGATGTTGGAGAGGGTAGCAGACAGTGCTGATCCTGTGCCCCGGATGTGCTCAGCGCAGCTCTGAGCTCACCTGCAGCAGGCGGGAAGTCCCTGAGCTTGTGCCCAGCCTCCCACTGTGGAGTCTCCCAACTTCTCCCGAGGGCTTACTTCATTGCTCAGTCATTTCACTTAGTCTGCTCACAGGGCAGCTGCGAAGTGTCAAGGATTTAGTCCTTTCTCTCCTCTAGGGGCGATCTTCAATCACTGAGGAATGGCATTCATTGACTAAATCCCAGCTGTCTTTCACTGGAACATTTCTGAGGGTCATTTGTAGTTTCTCAGAGGTTCCCCAGCAGGAATGAACTCCAGCTGTCTACAGAGCTAATACGCTCATTAAGGCACACTTTTTGGCTCTTATTCCTTCAGGTCTTACTTTCTGTGTTTCATCTTTTGCTTCCCTGAATTGCTTTCCAAATAATTGCCTACACCCAAGTCTTTGTCTCAGGTTCTGCTTTTTGGGGAACCCAAACTAAGATAGCAAGCTTCTCCCCTGTAGGAGAGTGGCACACAAAGAGGAGGGGCAGGTGGCCTGAAGGTCAAGGAGAGGGTGCAGAGTAGAGAAAAGCAGTGAATGCTTTGCAGTTACAAAAGCAGTAAGGACCTTACTACTTGTCTATGGTCAGTATTAGAATGCAACACCATGAGCCTAAAGTCATCTCGGCGTCTAAGTTACCACCTTGGGGAATGGAAGGAGATGAGAGGAGGGAGATGCCGTTGAGCAGGTGAGTCAGAGGGAGAACATGGCTTTCTGAGCAGAAGGAGGGAACAGAAGACTGAAAATACTGGTTGGCATTCAGTATCTGAGCTTAACTGTTTTTGCTGAAGAGTTTTACATGTGATAGCTTGATTATTTCCCCAAGAGAATCAGAACATTTGATCAGCACTTACTGCCTCAGCTATATGTGAAGTGACTCTGTTTCTGAGTAAGACAAAACTTTGCCCTGTTATGCCCACATCATGAATAATGAAGGGACAAATTTATCAATAGAGTGAAGTGGTCTATTATTTCAAAAGTTATCCTCCATGTAGAGAGCTCTCTAAGTTTTATGCCCAATTTAACAACCTTGGAAAAATACGGAGAAGTTTGAATTTAACTTTGTTCCTGGTGTACTGTCCTCCTCATGGCAGTTTATTTCAGGAAACCTCATGTGACTCCCTTTCCTTGAACACTCAGGCCAGAAACATAACAACATTCCATTCCAGGAATGGCTCTTCAGACTTTGAAACATTGTATACAAAATGTGATGAAATGGTAGCTGACCATCCTGGCCAGGGTGGCTCAGCTGGTTGAGCACAGGTCTGCAAAGCTGAAGGTTGCCTGTTCCATTCCTGGTCAGGGCGCATGCCTGAGTTGTGAGCCTGGTCCCCGCATTGGGGCACATGCAAGAGACAACCAATCCATGTTTCTCTCTCTCTCTCCTTCTTCCTTCCTTCCCCTCTCTCTAAAATAAATGAACAAACATGTATGGCTGTGTGACTAAGCTCAGATCAATGGAGTGTGGTGGAAGGAATGTGAGCAACTTCTGTTTCGCTGATTTAGGAGGAACTCTCTAAGTTTAGCTTCCTCCTTCCCACTGGCTACCCCAGTGGTACTCGCAGAAACTTCAGATGGCAGGTGTTGGGTCTCACCTTGGGTCCCTGAATGAGTGGAGGAAAGCCTCTCGCTGACATGGAATACCCAACTTGGACTGATTAAGTGAGAGGGAAATGACTTTCCTTGTTCTGTAAGCCATATTATTGTCAGGTCTCTAGTTATAGCACCTTAACTCTTACCTTAACTCGTGTATACACCTGTGTAAATACTTATACTGTATATTTCCTTTGACTCCATCCTGATCTGGTTGTTGTGAGCTAGTTTAGAACATCCAAGGAGAATGTGGACACTTGCGCTTTACCTGCCTGGGGCAGGTTATCAACGCAGGGTGTGTTTGTCATTGTTCAGTTCATTAGTTTATCCATCCATCCATCCATCCATCCATTCTTCCCCCTGCCATGTACACATCCATCCAAACATTCATTATACACACTGTTTTGAGACCTAATATGTCCAAGGCTTTTTGCTAGGGGACATCTAGGGGATATCAGTGACACAAAGATGAATGATACCCAGTGCCTGCTTTCAATGAGTTTATTGTCTAGAGACTTTACGTGGAGACTAAATCTTTAAAATAGGGTCAATTTTTATTCTAGGAGTTCTTAACTAAATTTGAAAAATGCTAGTTAATTTATATATTGCTGTTATTGCTTGTGGTGGTGTTATTATTTTGAGAATGCTCTCCCTGGTAAGTTTTTGTCTTCACCTTGAAGACCAGTGTTTACAGAGTGAAGGACCATTTTTATTTAATGGCAATAAAGCTGTGTGAGCACAAGCAATCTGTCACTTACTACAGACACAGTAGTTGCTCCTCCTCTTGCCCCTCCTTTCTTCCCCCAGGACAAAAGCTGATGTATATCCTTGAGCCTTCCAGTCCTCTAGGCTCGAACAGCTTTTTAAGGGATGAAGATAAGAAGGAGAAATTGAAAGGACCTGCCCAAAAAACTTTGCCAGGTAGGAGGAAATTTTTTTTCTTAGGCATAATTTTCTTATTGGGAACTCTAGTTTGTTTCCCTTTATTTTTGCAAATGCACTGCTACTTTTTCACTTCTAAGCAGAGAGAGACAAAATGATACAGACAAAGGAGAAAGAGACAGAGGCTGAAAGAGATGTTGAACGGCAAAGAGATGGAGAACTAGTGAGATAGGGAGAAAGATGCAGGGGAAACCCCTACGCCCTGAAGAATATGTTAGATGTACAGAGAAAGAGGAACCTCTAAATGAAAACCATGACAGAAGGGATCTGCACCTCTCTGAACTGTCACTGAGCAGGGATATGGGAAATACTTTGCAAATGCACCCAGAACGTATTGTCGTATTGTCTGTGTGGAAAAGGGAAACTGACTCAGGGGACTCACACAGGTTGCATGAATTATTTCATTGATGCACATCTTCGGGAGCTTTTGAAAATGGAGATTAATGTTTGAATGTAAGACCAAAGGAAGAAGAAAACACTAAAGATTTAGTGAATAAACAGACTTAGTAGAGACATAAAACTGAGGTCAAAATGACTTCCCCTCTTAGAGCATTCTCCAGCCAAGGGGGCAATTTTGAGTAAGAAATGAAAGTTTTTGTCCATCTGGTTTATCAGGATTCATACAATTTGACTACGATTTTCCTTTCCATTTGACTACCATACACAGTTTTAACCAGTAAGTTAAATGATTATTCACTTTTTTATGAAAAAAACTCAAACATACAACACAATTTAAAAATTCAAAGAATACATGTATACTCAACACTTAGGTTCACTATTAACATTTTAATATGGTTGTTTTCTTTTTTTTAAAGATTTTATTTATTTACTTTTAGAGAGGGAAGGGAGGGAGAAAGAGAGAGAGAGAGAGAGAGAGAGAGAGAGAGAGAGAGAGAGAGAGAAACATCAATGTGCAGTCGCTGGGGGCCATGGCCTGCAACCCAGGAATGTGCCCTGACTGGGAATCGAACCTGCGACACATTGGTTCTCAGCCCGCACTCAATCCACTGAGCTACGCCAGCCAGGGCTTAATATGGTTGTTTTCCACATATCACTCCCTTTATTCATCCCTTAATCCATCTTATTATTTTATGAATTTTTAAGTAAATTATAGACATCAGTATACTTCTCCCTAAATATGTCAGCATGCACATAATTGACTAGAGCTCAAGGAACTGATTACTTTGTAAAGAACTGCAAAAAAAGGTTAGGTGAAATTGATCCATTTTAGATTTTTGTATGCAATTTTTAGATAACTGTGGCTGATATTTCTACATTTACATTTAGAGAACAAACATAAGGATGGTTACGACTAGTGAGGATGACTTTGGTGGGATGAAAGTATCAAAAATACTGGCTGAAAATTATTCCACAGGATCTACAGGAGAAAAATCTATTGCCTTTTTGTTTCTTTTGTATTTATCTTCAACAACTAAGAAATAGGTCCCGGGACTACCCAATGCAGAGGGGTCCTTTTCAGTTTCAGCCCCTGAGTGTGTAACCCACAGGCTTGTGAAAGTTGTCTGAAATCACATAGTTCTGTCTGATAGTTTCTGACTCATAGGAATGGGCTTTGAAAGGTCTGAGGATGTGTTTATCTTGGCATTGACTAAGAGTTATCAACCCCTGTTTATATTTTTGCACAAACCGAAAATATGGTGAGTTATAGAGTCACTAGGAAGTAAAATGATAGCTGTTACCTCCCTGAAGTTTTGGCCTGGAATATTCTGAACCTAAAAACATGATGACTCCTTTAAAAAAGATCATACAGACGACTGTTTTGCTCAAACATTCCAACCTAATCTTGTGTCTTATGCTTGGGCAACTCACTAGCTAAATGGATTTTTAAAAAAGATTTTATTTATTTATTTTTAGAGAGGGAAGGGAGGGAGAAAGAGAGAGAGAAACATCAATGTGTGGTTGCTGGGGGTCATGGCCTGCAACCCAGGCATGTACCCTGACTGGGAATTAAACCTGCAATACTTTGGTTTGTAGCCCGCGCTTGCTAAGTGAATTTTTGTGGCTGTGAGTTTTAGAGGATTCCCCCCTTTGGCCGCATCGCTCCCATGCCCCTTTGGATATGGGCTGCAGTCACAGACCAGCTAAATTTTGGATTTCTCAGGGATCTTGAGCCAAGTCCCTTCCCACACTATGCCCATGATATGGTTTTACCCACTCGACAATCTTGCCAAATGTTTAGATTTATACTGTTTGTTCTGATTATACATTTAATACAAATGAATTAAAATATAGCTGTAATTAAAATGTAAAAGTAAACCCAGTTGTCATTGAGTCCTTCATCTACCAAAATATAATGGCCTAGGGGCCATCGGTCTTCCCGAGTGCCTCTAAATCTTCATGTAGATCATTCTATCTTAAGAACAAGAAGTCATTTATTTTTTTCAAGCAAATGAATTTATGCAACAAAAATTTGTGGAACACCTAGAATGTGCCAGGCCCTGGGGACATATCATGGAGAATAAAAGATTCCTCATGGTGCTTATATTCTGTCTAAGGTGGGGATATAACAACAGATAATTAATAAAAATCATGATGAGTAACATATAGCATGTTAGGAGGTGATAAAAACTATGGGAAAAGAGGAAAAGCAGAGCAGGGTCGGCGTGGGTGGGTGTGCTGGGAGAACAAGGGTGGGCAGCAATTTTAAGTAGAATGGCTAGGGTGGGCCTACGTATGAAGGTGACATCAGAGCAAAGACTTGATGAGCCATATAGATTTGGGGGTGTATGGGGAAGAGTGTTAGAGGCGGAGGAAAGAGCATATGCAAAGATCCTACCAGGGGATGTAGCTCGCTATTTGAAGAACATCCAGTAGTCCAAGGTGATCGGAGTACAATGAGTGAGAGATGAATCAGAGAAAACTGGCCGGGAGCACACAGGGCCTTGTAACCTACTTTGTCTTTTTTTTACTGTGAGCAAAACAGGCATTCATTAAAAGGCTATGAGCAGAGGTGACTTAGGTTTTAAAGGGATTTTCCTGGATATGTACTGAGGCTAGACTTCAGGGAGAAAGGTTAGAAGCAGAGAGACCCAAGGAGGTTACTGTAGTCATCAAGCAAGAGAGGGGATGGTGGCTCAAGACAGGCTGTTTGCAGTAGAAGTGGTGGAAGAGAATCAATTTCTGGATATACAGCCTTAGTGGAGAGCCAACAGGATTTCCTGGCAGGTTAAATGTAGGGTGTGTGTGAGCCAGACGAGTTCATGAAGTTGGGTTTGTGCCATGAGAAGGTTGCAGTTGACAGGAATTGAGGGTAATGAAGGAGGGAGAAAAAAGAGCAAAGAAGGGAACTGTTCTAGGTGCTGAGCATACATAAATGATGGAGACACAGTCTTAAAAAGCTTGGTTATTCACTGAAATAAGTGCACAAGGTTCAGAGGAAGAACAGAACAGGAGGGAGGTGACATTTGAGATGGGTTTTGGAGGGAGCCTGCCAGGTGTGAGTGTATGTGTGGGTGTGTGCGCACATATGCACATGTTTTGGGATCAAGGAATGGAGTGCACCGTTTTAGGCAGGGGGAAGGAATAAATGACATATTGCAAATCTGTGAAGTCTGAATGAACTTTGCAAAGCACTCATCTTACAATTATGTAACCTTCAGAAAGTTAGCCATTTTACAACCTATAAAGACATATCTTCATTTTTCTCAGGGCCAGAGAGGTTTCTGTTAATGCATTTAATGGGTATTTTTTTGTATTTATCTTAAAAAATGTATCATACACTATTTGAGATATTTTTAAAATGATACGAAGAATAGTTTAATGGCACTTTTTTATTTCAAGCTGAAGTCATGGAGACAAAAGTGAAAGATTCAGCTCAAAGAACATAGGCAGCTAGTTTCAAAGAACTGTGTCACCCAGGTGACAAGATGGCCACCAGGTTGGTGTCACGCTAGGTACCCTACACCTTTGATTTAGGAAGTCTTCTCTCACTGCTGTGAAAAGGCTGTTACAACCCCACATCTCACTTTCATCGTACTGTGGTTATTACCTAGACTCCAGGAAGCAAAAATGCCATCTTGGCTCTTTGATTCAAACAAAGCATTTCTCTTGGAATAAAAAATGCTGAAGCTTGGTTGTGTCAATGAGGAAGGCCTAACATTCTGGGACTTTGTTTCATAGATTATTGCTTGGCAAAGGTAATAGTAACCTGTCAAGTTTTATATATTTTCCAAAGTCTTTTCTCCCCAATAAGCTCATGCCATTCTGCCAAGTGGTGATGGCAAGGTGTCATTGCCTCTACTTGATGCTGACAGAGCGGAGGCTTAGAGGGTTCAAGAGACTCCAAGAAGTCATATATCAAGGATATTGCAGGGGTGACATGTGAACCAGAAAATTCAAAGTCGGATTATGTGTCTATTTTACTGCTCCACACTATACTTCCTCTCCAGCATCTGGAGCCACCATCTTCTTAAAGGACATAAAAGAAACAAAGGACCATGTATGTGACACCAGACTAGATAATTGCAAAGAGCTGTCTTGTCCTTATTCACTATCATGACCTGCTCTTCTTGTGTTTACTGGTGACAGGAAGTACAGAGTGGCAGGGTGCCTTGACCCACCTAGGGCTTTTGTAGAGAGGCCTGATCTGCATAGTGGATTGTAGGCATCCTTCCTGAATGAAATGTCTTAGAAAGATAAGGTAGTTATTACCATTTATCTGGTAAGATAGATAGAGCTCAAGAAATGCTGGGGCTATTGAGTTTCTAAGCCACACAGAAGCTGAAAGAGTTTGAGTAAACACTTTTTTCATTGGATGAAAACATTGAGCAACCATTTATATAAGATCATAAAGGGAAAGAACAATTAGTTAGCATCAATGTAGCCTGTCCTACCATGATTTCTTAGACCAAGTCCCCACCCTCTATGTGTTCACAGCCCTGTGAGGGAGATAAAGCAACTAAGCAGGCAATGACAATGCAATATGGCAAATGATATACTTGATGTATGAACCAGGAGTT